ATTATGCAAATTGATTTGAGGTAATCAGACTGTCAGGAGCCCTGAACCACCTTTAACGAGAAAAAACATTTTTAAAGAAAAACTACTTTCGGACATTTCTTCTCTCTGTGGACCGCGTTTGTTGGCCAGCTGTTCTTTCTTGTCAACAGAGAGCAGGCAGGACCAGTGCACTTCCTCCTACTCTTAATGTATGTGCAGCTAGCTTTACAGGCTCCAGTAGAGAAAAATCTACATTTTAAGTCTTGACGTGCATTGCGCACTTCTGAAAGAACAAGTTCCATCGCCTGCCCAACCAATAAGACTGAAATGTCTTTGGGAAGAGCAGAGCATGCATGGAGAAGGTAAAAGTTGTAATCATATCTCTCATTCTGTACCATGTCTTTTTAAAAAAGTTATCTTGGTGATAAATTTTTACATATTTCAGGGACAAAATTTATATATTATAATTTATATATTCTAAAGGTTTCTATAATTTCAAACAGGGTTCGTACAGGTTTCCAAAGCAGAAATTCAAGGATATTCAAGGACTTTCCAGGACCTGTCACAGGTTTTTCAAGGACTAAAAGCGGCACACAATGCTCAAACTTTATTACTCTAAATTTTCAAAACTGACTCATTTTTATTGCACTTATATAGTACATGCGCATTGCAATTATAAAAACGTGGCTAGTCTGCACTGTAGCTTGCTCTAGCTACACTATGTAGGAAGGGCAGGCTGGGCTTGTTGGTTTAACATATTGGAAGTTTAAGGCGCGAATACAACACGGACGAAGATAAGATACACATACATGGAGCACTACGTGTGTGTGTACCTTATCTTCGTCCACTTCGTATTCATGCCTTAAACTTCAAATTAGCTTCACAAGCTTCACTGCTTGCACAATAGGGAAGAAGCCCCGAGGAGCATATGAGTCTCTCACTTCGATTGTTCGTCATTTGACGCAGTAAAACTTTATTCTCCATGCAGTTTTCGAAAACGAAACCATATCAACTCACGCCAATTTACCATTTCAGAAATGAAGAGTTTGTCGATGACCATCCATACTTGCCAAGTTCAAGGATTCTGAATCTGGGAGATTTCCGCAATGAGAAAAAAAGGGGGGAAGGGCTGATTTATTTGCCCCACTTTCTTTTTTTTTGCTCACAAAAAAAAACAATAGAGAAAAAAAAACAGTGAGAGGGGGGGAAGGGGTCAGTAAATATCGGCGCTGTGCTGTCTCATACGGGCATGGAGTGCCTGAACACCTGAGGGCAGGGTTTTCCAACTACAGTAAAAGGTACGAGTCTACTGGGGGGGGGGGGGGGGGGGGGAGAGGTGAACATACTTGTATATCTCAAAATTTCGCGACATCAAAATAACTAGCAACACCTATTTCTATCAAAAGAACTCACGTATGTCTTCCTGGGGCACATGAACGAATGGGATGGCGCAGTTGGCTGCCGGGAAAGCGCGGGCTGAAGCTTCGCTTAAGGCAAACTGAAAACACTATGCCAAAGTATAGCCAAAGTACCCAGATCGACAGGAACAACATTACTAGATTCTTTGGACAGGAACGCCAAAACTATTTTAGCATTTTTTTTACACGTTTATTGTCTCTACCACTGTATTAGCCGCATGCCCTTGGCTAGTAATCGCGTCGCCTCAACCGTGGCTCTGCACGCGGCGGTTGCTATGATCGCATTTGCTGCGATTTTGTTCGCAGCATTTGTGGAAAGCAATGTCGCTTTAACTGGTCGAGCGTTGAACGCGCCTGCACTTTCCAAGTTCTGCCAGGTACGTCGTCGCCACACATGATTGTGTCACTAGCGACCGCAAATTCATTCACACTGGTTGTGGCAAACGATAAGCGCAGTTCTGACACTGCATGCGCTGGCTGTGCGCGTCCTTCTGATGCTGTGAGCATGCTGCTCTCGGCCTTCGTTCTACGGTTTTGGCACTAAAGTTCATACTACGCACCGCGATAAGGAAAAGTGTTTGGAATATCCGAAATTTGCCCACATGCATGTTTACATGAACACCTTGTAAATTCACTTACAATAAAATGTGATGGGTTTGCAAAAAGACCTGGATTGGATTGCGCTGCATTTTTGTCAATGGGGCCAGATCATGCACAGAAATTTCAATTCCCGGGAGGTTTTTCTGACAACCATACAAACGTAAGAATAGGTTGAAATGTGGCAGACTTGGCAGGTATAACGATCTGCCACATAAAAGAGGCCGCAATGTTGATTGGGAGCGCTCATAAAATTCAAGGATTTCTAAGGGCGGAAAAAAATGCAACGACTTTCAAGGGTCTTGAATATGCACTTCACAAATCCAAGGATTTTCAAGATTTTCAAAGACCTATACGCAACCTGTTCAAAAAAATTGGTTTTAAGTTTCCTTAAACAAATAGGTAAAAACAGTTTGTCTCAAAGGTAACCTACTGCTTCCGGACAAATACAAAAAAAAAATAGTTACTGAATTCGAAACAGTGCAAACTCAGCAATTTCATTATCCAATTCCATGTTGCTGCAGCAAAAACTGTGCATTAAGATATAGGTTCATGATAAATCTATATGCTTGTACATAGTACATGACAAAACATTAAATTGATTTATTCACAGGCATTATCACAATCTTTAATTACAAAGAAACTTCCAGCTCATATTCTGGTGGCATCATGCGAGAAAAGCAGTCACCACTAGAAAACAAATTTGATACGGGAGACCTTTTTTTTCTCCAATTTGAGCCATTCAAGGGATTAAACAGTGTAAAAAAAAAACTACAATCGATGAAGAGTTCAGCATAAAAATTTTTAAGGGCGTTTAGTTGCGATAAATGCTGAGAGATGACGGATCTTTAAGAAAGTTATTATGCACCATCAGCTACTGTAGGCTATTATGCCTGTAATGCATATAATATATATAAGCACAAGTTTCGGCTCAATGCAAGTTGTACATGCACTTCAAACCATATCTTATGAAACCAGATTTATGGACCATATTTAAAGCAACAAAATCTCATTTGTACCTTGCACACTAGAGTGTAAGTATCACTGGCTTTAGAACGAATATACTTGTGTCCAATATCTCAGCAGTTTAAAAATGAAAGTAGAAACTTGAAGGGCCTTTCACCTAGAAAAATTTGGTAACACTTGTAAGCCGTTTTACGACAATTTTTGAAACTGGTCCTTTGCTGGAGGAGTTGTCCTGTCACCATGCCAACAGGACGACACTGCCAGCATGAAGACTGTCTGTGGCTTAACTGGCCAGAATCATAGTCACCAGCTTGCTTGCCTTCTCCCATGCACTGCCTAATTTGGCTTCAGAGCATACTAATTGCACAATTTGCAAGCACAGGGCATGGGACGCTGACTTGTTGGAAGTGCAGCTAAAGAGGGTGCATAATCGTCTGCTTGTACTAATTTCGTTTGTTTTCAGGCTACACAGCCACTTCGTATCCCTGCCTGAGCTGCGTTTGTTCGTTTGCTTGCCATGTCCAAACCTGCTGGGGTGCGTTTTACCAGAAAAAATGAAAGAACAAACACCACCAGCATCATGTTTAGGTAAGCTACACAACAAAGAAGCAAAAGGTCTACAGGCTGAATCTTCATTTAATGAGAAGATGAAATCCACATGCGAAATTCAGAAATGGAAAAAAAAAAGAGAAGTCAGAGGAAACACTGGCCACATCAGTCATGTGATTGAACAGTGTTGCTAAATGTAAAGCTTTATTGTACATAACACACAGTAATTATTGTTTCAGAGAGGAACTATGAGCGAACTCGGGCACACTGCTTTGCTTTAAGAGGTGCAACAGTTTATTCATAATAGTACTGTGTAAAGAAAACCCATGACTAACCGTGTGCCTGCAGTTCGTAATTTTGACCCCATCTTCACACACTGCTCTGCACATCAGCCTGTCAGGTTTCTTTGTAGCACCAGACTGTGCATGTTAACATTAAGTGCAAATAGCAAAGCTGGAGTCTGAAAGCATGCTTACTGGCAGTGACTACATTCTTGCAACGTTTGGGGACATTTTTCAGAATTTACAACACAGCCGTTACGAGTACTACTGTAGATTTTTATGTCATCGTAAAATTATACACAATGTATTTTTCATCATGTGCAAGTATGTGTAAAAAAAATGCAGTTCAATGACCTGTTGCAAATACTGACAAGTGCGCTCAATTAACATGTGGCCTTCACAGATGCATTATTTTCCCTAGGAAAACATTAGATAGGAACAGGTACAATACAGTCACGAGGTCACCACAATATGAGAAAGGATTGCACAAGCCCCACAGACAGCTTGTATGAGGCAAGTCTTCTTGGTACTGACTTTTCATAGACTGAAACAGCAGGAAATGTCTTGCACTGTGACCTCATGGTGTGGCTCCATAACCAGCATTATTGTGAACAATATCGGCACTGTAACACAACATAAGTCAAAGAAATAAAGAAAGGCATAGACATTCCTAGGATGGAAATCCTTCCCCACTCATTTTCAGCAGTATTATTTTACCGGGGGGGGGGGGGGGAAGAACCTTGATAAGTGAGTTCCTTCGGGAAGGGGTGAGAGAAGCGGAGAACAGCCATTGTTTTATGACTATGTTCTTTCTTGGAGGGGCAATGGAGGATGCAGGCAAAAAGCCCCTCATGCCCACCCCTGGCGCCGCTCCTGAATTTCAGGTATTAAACAGAACTTTAAACTCTCCTTTTGCACAAGCTTTCTGATGACAGGTTTAGATGTGCTGATGACACTTCTCACACGAACAAAAAATTTGTGCACTCGCACTGACATCCTACTATGACATCACGCAGTATAACCGTCTTTCGAGGCAGTCAAAACCACCCCCGCACCAAAGCTAACTAAGCACCAGGAGGTTATCTGGCACAGCTTACAAACACATTTTTCCCGTGTCCATACATTTGCGCACGTATATGCCTCGACATGCTTGATTCGCATTGCTCGCATTGTGGCTCAATAGCCAAGCTTAATCACATTCTCTGGGCCCCGCAGCGAATATCCCCGCTCTCCCAATCTCCTGGCCACTCCCTTGCCAAAGGGGTGGGAGGCAGTTCTGACTTCCACCAGCCTGGCAGTTCAGCTCCAGGCCGTACAAAGGTATGAGGAGGTGGCCACAAGGTTCAACCTGGCAGATGACCTACCTCCTTAAGTTTGACGACAATAAAGTTGTGTTCTCTCTCTTCTACCCCTCGCACAAGTTCCTTGTAGCTTACTTTTGATTCAGTTCTCGGCTTTTTCAGCTCTATTCAATCAAAAACTCTCAGTAGAAGTAAACTGCTTTATGATTTAGATATAAAACCCTCAAGAAATATGTGCCAGTAATATATATGGTTGATACATTAAAGGATTAGTACAGATTGTCAGCAAGTACCAGCCAGCTGCATACACAGACTACGGTTAAACCCCTTTATAAGAGGCATGTTACGGGCAGAAATTTTTTTCTCTTATATGAGATCATCTCTTATAAGCAGAGCATTACGTAGGCATTTTTTTATCAACCATAATTTTGCTGTAGGCACACTGGTGTCTCTTATGCCATTTGTCTCTTAAATCAGTGTCTCTTTACAACGATATTCGACTGTATTAACATTGTAACTCTTACAAAATGACTCCATTGATTGATTAGTGCTGGCTTAATAAGTGGCACATGTTGATCCCAAAAGACCATGACGGCATTTCAGCCCTTTTCTGCACGCTTCCGCTCGAGTAACCAAGAATGTATTAAACTGCATTCATGCCAACTGTGCTTTCATTAAATTGTTGAGATAATCCTTTTATTCCCACAAGCAACCTTTGCACAGAAGCATCCTCCCAAAATGCAAACCTGGCACATACTGGTTTGTTGAGGGTGATGTCACAACCTGCTTTGCTGTCTCTAACAGAGCTTTAGAGAAAAGCATATCAGGGTTGCTACAGGACTTGCTGAATGCAGGTACGGGATGAACACACAAGGGAGACACTGGTGGTGGCTCCAACGCCTGGCTCCTTTCTGGGAAGACAAACAAAACGTGCCCATTTCCATGTTTTTCACCACACCATACAGAAGACCACTGCAGAAAAATTATTTTGCTGCTTATGTCAGCTAGATAACTACTCATGTCCTCTGTCCCCTGCTACAGATGTACCAGAATCCATTCCCAATAGCTGCACTATATTTGCAGAAAAGGTAGCGGACATTCCATCCCCAATTGGAATGATCACTCAAACAGCCAGGACTAGGAGTAAGTCTAAATTGGTAAAATACCCACTGGGGAAAATCCCACCAGTAGGGCTGTGTTAAAATTGGACAAGCTATTTGCAGCCCGAATTACTAGTTCAAGTTGTAGGTAGGGCCATCGATCAAAAATTGAAGGCACATATCATAACTACCTTAGCTTTGGTGTCTCCTTGACCTGAGCCTTTAGCAGTAGCTGCCCTCAGTGTCACACGAGTCTAGTGGTTCCTGCTTGAGCCAGGACGGGAAATCGGCCGCACGGCAAAGGTCCTCTGAATAGGTCGACGGGTAGGCCCAGTTGGAGCCCGGGGGGCTGGACTCAGCCGGTTGCTGGCACGGGTACTCGAGCTGCTGCTGCAGGGGGGGCCCCGCTGTTCCACTGACTGTATGACGAAGCCTGATCGGGGAAGCCATCCTGCTGGTAGTACGGCTGCTGATTGCAATGTGCATTGTAGTAGTTGCTGTGGTAGTCCATCTGCGGCTGTGGCATGTCCTGTTGGGAATGCATTGGCTGCTCGGATGCCATCTGGTTATTGGGCAACTGGCCTGTGTGATGATGGAGGTGTTGCTGCTCCGTGAGCACTGATGATTGGGGGGGCTGCATCCCGACGGCCGTCCTTGCAACGCTGTAATCGGATTGCAAAGCTGTCTCGGTTTTTTTCTTCGGCCTCGCCTTTTAGCCTGATCGGGCTGGTAGCTCCCAGGAACAGAGTGGTCACCAGGCTCTTCCTTCATCTGCGCGACAGCTCCACTGACACAAAGCTCAAACAAGAAATGTTCATACAGTTAACTTGTACCTTCTATGCAATGCCAAAATTTCACCTGATACAAACAACTGGTCAGTGATAAAAGAGGTGCATAATGAGAGTGACAATCTTTTTCTACACATGTGGTACGACCAAAATTTGTTTCATGAGATGGCGATGTGTTGTCAGCCAATACTATCCTGCAATCTATCTAACAAAGAGTGATTATACAGCTGCAGATACACGAATCATATAAGCTGATTGTCTGTTCTGTGATCCCACAAGCACACACATATAAACAATGCTCAAGCTGCTCGTACGATAACCATACTTTTGTGTGATGAGACATGCATTGCTTTGCACCTAAACTAGCTAACAACCCTATGTAACCAGGAGAGCATAGGCAAAATGAGATTCAGTATAATAATGCTATAAAATTCACATACTGCATTCTATTAGAGCTTGTTTCACAAAAATTCTGGCGTCGGTGTTGACTTTGTAGTCGTTGGTTGCGAGCAAAAAATCATCATTCTGTCCATGACTACAAAATCCAGAAAGATGCAAATAAAATAAATAAAAAAATCCAGGTTCAAGTGAGCATCAAACCCAGGCTCCCAAGCGGTTATGGCCAGTGGTCAACGTTTTGCTAAGAGCCAGAACCAGTCAGTGGCCACTTTGGTCGGCGACACAAATGAAAAATGTGCTCCGCCTGTGACTGGCCATTCACAAGGCGCCAGTAGGTCAGCCAGCATGCTTGGCTTGACCTCGTAGGTTTACCATCTGCTGATGTCACTTTTCACTTTTTAAGGTGGGCAGCAGGTCGGCCAGTGTGCTTGGCCCGATGTCGTTGGTTTACCATGTGCCAACGTCCCTTGGTCAGGTTGGCAGTAGATCGGCCAGCGTGCTTGGCCCGACGTCGTCAATTCACCTTCCGTCAACGCCACTTTGGCTTGGTCGGAACTTTTAGGTCAGTGGCATAAGCAAGCGCAGACGATCACGCTTGTCAATTTAGCCGTCGTGTAAGCAGAAACGCACATCTCAGCTGCGTTTTCGTATTATTTTAATATGGGCAGTGACATTACTTTTACTTCTGGTGTAAATTGCAGTGTATGTTTATATACATTAAGTCAGTCTAATGTGCAATATGCTAGCTAAGTATTTCAAAGAAGTGTACCAAAAAAAGGTAGTTTTATTTTAATTTTTCTGCCTTTTTCAAATACGCAACAGCGACCTAGATGAATATGAGCATCTGTGGAATAGTAGTGGTGGCTGCAACCACTTGGATGGCTTATTTGACAGGATTAGTACACTCGAACAAGAGACAGGGGCTAGCGTGTTAGCAGTGTGGTTTCAAGCTCAGTGAGTATATCTGCCCCGATTCTTTATAAAAGGATTATTAAGAGGACACAGACAGCACAATGTTGTGTTCTGTGAACAGTGTTAACTATCCGTGACCACCAAAGAAGCACGGCCGAGGCATTTTTGCCTGCCTTTATACGCACTCCCGTGCCACGATCGTGTGAGGCTTAGAGGTGTAAGGCTTAAAGAATGGCATGTAGCAAAAGCTTTTGTTAACAAGACAGGATACAATATTCTGGCCATGCTTTCTTTCCTTTTGCTGCCTATGACAGATGCAAGCTTGGCCGTATAACGAACTGACTGAATACAGAACCGCAGCTTGTTTACTGATACCGTGGGGTGCTCTAAAGAAAAGTGAAGTATCTGTGTCGTAGTATTTGAGCACATAGTTCCACTATTCGAGCTATAGCGATAGCATGCCATGGTTTGCGAAACTTGTACCACTGCATGCAAAGATAAATTTCTACACTACCTTTAAATGAGTGATCACTTTGCCTTTTTGCATGCTATAAAAGTGCTTCCATCATTTTCAGGCTGAAAATATTGCTTCGTTTGCTCTCAGTGAATTGAGAGTATCATTGCTTATAGCTTGTAGAACATCAGACATGTATTTCTAAGGCCGGCGGGTTCCCAATGGGTTACAAAAATCCAGTGGAAATTCAAATCATAGCCGAATGTCCGCATTTGGAGCCAGTTATCTAAGGGACGACCTAGGGCCGTAGCATTTCGATTGTTTCTTCCGTCCATTTTATTTTCTGTCTGGAACATCCGAAGGATATCTACAAAAGATTTCATGTGAATGCAATAATTTGGACAGGAGAAGGACATTCCCGAGACATTTCAAGAAACAAAGCCTTAAAGACTTTTGGAAACTGCTACAAACGGTTATACACATCTTGGTCTAAGAGAAGACCTAAAACAGACATTTTCAAAAAGAAAGAATAGTGCCTCAAATGTGCTCACTTGCAGCCTATTAGTATCTTTTAACAACTCAAACATAGCCTGATCTGCAAAATAAGTTCATAACGAGTACTTCAAAACATTGTTTAGACACTATAGGGAGTCAGCTTTCAATGTCCACCTCAATGATTCCGAGAAGGTTGTGTTGGAAAAGTGCCAAAATGACCAAACGTCATGCCAAAGAGTACGTGGTGACCATCAGTTTTACTAACAAATGATGCAATTACTAAATGATACAATTACTAACAACTTCCCCAAAATAATTGACCTTACACCTCAAGCACGAGTGTACAGCTGTCCATTTTTTAACTTGAACGTGCGAGCGTCGACCAACGAGTCATTAATTCCCTATTCCCGGTCTCCCTTTGTCCGGATCCAAGAACAGCCTAGAAGACGACAGCTGAAGACTGTTAACAGGGTGCATGCACATACTGTCGTTATATAACTGTGCCGCTCTGCTCAGTTAATAACTGTGCCGCTCTGCTCAGAAGCAGCGGGCGTTTGGTTTCAAAAGTCGTGATGCTGGTGCTCCTTAGCATGGCCAATAACCTTGATGACACTCGGGCGAGACTGCAGCAGTTCCGGACCCACCAGCAGCAGTGATGCTACAAACGGCGACCAGCAGCAATCTCCGGTATGCTGCGTTATTGTGGTGTTTTGGTTTCGATTTTATGGTTGTCAGATTCGGTTTCATGTAAAGTATTTTCGCCCTCAGGGGGCACTACCCTGAGTATATATGTGTGGCATTGTACATAATAAGGGAGTTCCTGCTTGGTTATCGGCTGCTGTGTACCTCGTGTCAGCCGGTGCTTCGGCGCCGTGTCCTGTGTTCTCCGTGCGGCGCGTCCGCCGCCCGATACTACATTTCGGCGACAAGAATCTTCAATCCACGTGCATTAGGCGGCAAGGTGGGCATCCAGACTTCTTCATCGTGCTGTCAACTCGGCACCCGTGCAAGCTGTCCCACCGCTACTGTATTTCCTGCATATATTTTAATTTTCTACACTTTCTGTGCTAGTTTGGTCGTGAGGCCTACCTACGTGCACGTATCTCCTGAACTGCAGTCTCAACGCTCTCTTCGGCAAGCATGAACGCGGCTATCCCTCCACCTCCGTTTCTTCAGTGCCCCGATGTACTGCCTATACCGTCGTGGCAGTGGCGTCCTGTGTTACAGGTTTACATCGACGTCGTTGCCACGGACGCCACGCCGGAGCACAAGAAGGCGCTGCTCCTGAACGACTTGGGCGTCAAGGGACTCAACACCTACCTGCGTGCTGCCGAAGATAAGCCGGGAGCCGACCGGCCAACTCTGAAGACGACGCCGGACGTGTTCGATGCAGCCCTTGCGCTGCTGAATGCAATCTTTGACCCTCAACCGAACGCAGCGTGTCAGCGAGCCCACTTCAAAGCCCTGCGCCAGGGCCCAGAACAGTTGGCGGTAGAATTTATGCAGAAAGTACGCCGAGTAGCCAAGCTTTGTGGATTCAGCGTGGCGGACGATATCCTCACTTTCGACCAGATTGTCTTTGGCATTACTTCGCTGCACCTACAAAGAACTTTTTTCAAGATGGGCAGAGACTTCACACTACAGAAGGTGATCGATGTAGCGAGAGAGGGAGTGCGTTGACCGCGCGTTGCTAAAGTTATCGGGAGCGCAAGTCGACGCAGTGTCGTCGCATCTGATTCAAGATGGCAGCTCAGCTCGCTGAGCGATTCAAGATGCCAGACCAAATGACGGTCATCTTCCCCAAACTTAGGTGCAAGATGGCGCCAGCGGGACTTTTCCTGCGTGCACCTTCTCGCCCTCCACTGCTGCAGACACCTCCTCTCCTGCTTTGCCGCCGGCTCGCACGGGTGCCTGCTACCGCTGCGGGTCGATGCGGCATTGGGCCAACTCCGCCGCATGCCCTGCCAGGAGCCGAACGTGTTCATGGTGCGGACGTCATGGAAACTACACGCAGGTATGCCGCACTACTATGAAGTCTACCGGTCATCAAGGCACATCGACGGTGACTAATACAGTTACTGTCCTGCAAGTGGACGAAACGGTCACCACTGTTGGACTTCTTCATCTTCCTGTACGAATTAATGAATCCACTTTCAACATGCTCATCGACACTAGGGCAGCTGTGCCATTGCTCAACGTCCAAGATTATAACAGGAACTTTTCGCATATCAAGTTGCTACCTTCGCACCTCGTTCTACAGAATTACTCAGAGCAAACCATAAAAAATCTTGGCTATTTCAAGGCAACAGTCTCGTACAATGGCAACTGCACCAAGATTCTTATCTAAGTCATGAACAAAGGCACCTCACTACTGAGATTAGATGCAATCCGAGCTCTGAAAATAATCATCAGAGGTGAGACCCTCACTTGTTCTTTCGTCGACTCCTCAGCGATTTCGGCGAATGCGCCACTAGAGTTTCACGACCTGTTTTCGTCGGACATCGGCACCATCCGGAATTACATTCATTGTGTCAAGCGTCGACCTGGTGTGCAGATAATGGCGACCAAACTGCGTCGTCTTCCTTTCTTGCTGAGGCAACAAGTTGCCGATGAGCTGCAACGACTAGAGTCGACTGGCATCATTGAGAGGGTGGATGCTTCGAACTGGGTTTCTCCCTTAGTCGTCACCCGCAAGAAGGACAATTCCATCCGACTGTGCGTCA